TTGGGTGTCCGTTTTTGTCATTTTCGGGGGTAGCTCAAGTTGACTTTTGATCATCCACCCATGTTGAACCTCATTTTTAGTTTTCCACCTATCATGTTATTCTTTTTATACCCATGTATTTTCATAACTACATAAACCCACTTAATCCCCATTTTTAAGGTTGGAGAATGGAAATTAAGAGCCAACCATTCATTCTAAGAAAGAGAAAGATACCTAATTTCCCAAAATACCCCTTAAGTTTCAAAGAACGTAAAACTCCCTAAGAACTTCTTCTTTCCAGGTCTAACTTCTAAGAAGCCTAAAATTCAAGAAGGCCCAAATCCCACAAAAAAAAAAAGCTTCCAAACACCTTAACACCCCAAACTTTAGAACCTTTCACTTTTGGTCATTGGATCCCCAATGGAGTGAAAGGTTCTAAAGTTTGGGGTGTTTGGAAGTATTATTATTGTTATTATTATTATTATTATTATTAATTTTTTAAAAGGAATTTGGGCTTTCTTAGAATTTAGGCTTTCTAAGAGTTAGGCGTGGGAGAAAGTTCTTAGATAGTTTTCAGGTTTTTTGGGACTTGAAGGGCATTTTGGGGATTTTAGGAAGATGTAAAGGTAAATTCGGTAGTAAGGGAGATGCTTATAGGTAATTTGGGGAATTAGGTATCTTTTTCTTTCTTCAAATGCACTTTCTCTCTCTAAGGTTGGCTCTTAATCTCAATTCTCCAACCTTATGGTGATGAGAAAACATGAGTGTATAATCAATAAAAGCATGGGTAGAAAACTAAAAATGGGGTTAAACATGGTTGTATCATCAAAAGTCAACTCGAGCTACCCCTGAAATGAATGGAAAAAGACACCCAAACTTTGAAATTTTTCATGATTTGCCCTTGGGGTGGCTTCCTTCATCAACTGCCAAAACCCATTAAATTGCACTGTTTTTTCACCATTTTGGCCTAAATTTCTTTCATGAAATCACTGGAAATCCCGCCGTGATCATCTTGCGACAAATTTGAGCAATAAGGGTGTTGAATTTGGTGAGTTATGTCCCATCTTAATCTTTACTTTTCATTTTTGTAAAAAAACATTTTTCATTCCTCTTTTATGGCACTTCAATCCACCCTTATTTGACTTCTATTTGACAATCCACCACCAAATTCTTGTGAAGGGTCTTGAGATCATCGTTTGGATCTCTTTTTGGCTAAAGAGATCGTAGTTTCGCCTAGTTTTGGCTGATCTACGTCTTTCCTTTTAAATTGTAGTGCCAAAATCTTCAAGCAATCTCTTTATAATTCCTCTCTTGATTCGACTTTTATCTTCAAATTAGTGTACATTGATATGAGTGGCGTTAAGTCAAGAACCTTCATGTCAAATCTCGGTCCAAAATACCTTTCTAATTGTGAGGTATTGATTTGAGAATGCTTGGAGGTCATAGGGGTTGCAACTTTTTCAATGTCTTTGGTCCCTTTCTTTTTTCCCTTCGAATTTGCCATGATTATGTCAGTGAACGTCCTTGATATGTATATCGTTTGAAAGTTTATGTAACATGGAATGACACTGAAGTTTGAGCCCATTTGATTTTGGCATATGCAAGATGTTGCTCCATAAATTTGCCCAAAATTGTTTGTGGGCTACTGCAACTCCCGTAGTTTGCTGGACCATATGGTCTACTATCGTTTTTTCGGAAAAAGATTGATGGTCCATTTGTGGTCTAACTAAGACAGCATTAAAATAAATACTTCCGAACACTGGATTAGTATGAAATTTGGTAGATATGGTTTTCTTATTTGCATTTTATTCCCATAAAATTTATAGCCACTTTGGCCACCAATTTTTTAAGGATGCTTTATAAAAGTAAGCCGAAACAGTGTGCACCCGCACTGAGTTTTACACAACTGTAACGACCATATCTCACTCATTTCACCTCTAATCGAGTTCAAATTTGGAATTTAGCCCTTTCATAACATATCTTTCATTCCAAGAGAATTGTAGGGCATTTGGGTCTATATTTGGTTGGGCCCTTTTGTAAAATGTGGTTGGCCTCTTGAAATTTTAAATTTATTAGATCCATATCTCATTAACCCAAAATCGGACCGGCCTCAGATTTGGGATTTGAGCTTTTCATCATGGTTCCTTCCTTCTATAAAAATATTGGACCATTAGCGTGCAACTTACATAGGGTCGCTTTGTAACTGTATGGCCATTTTAGAGCATCACATATGGGTTCTTAATCCTTGATAGAGCAGAATCGCGGACCAGGATTTATGTATCCAACTCCAAATAGTTGGGAAAAGGCTTTGATGGTGACGTATGGGCTCCTGACTTGCCAGATCCATATCTTTATCCTTCGGAGCAGCTTGAGCTGAAATTTGCGGGATGGCTTATGGTACCTCATATTACAATTTAGAATACTGGAATGGGTTTTTTAGTCAAATTTTACCGAAGTTTGGCCATATTGTATTTTGAGCTATCTGATCATCAATCTAAGGGTGTGCTCTGTCGGATGCTCCTCATTTTTGGTAGGAATGCCTCTCTCATCATTCTAAGAGGATATTCTGATGTTGAATTCATTTTGGGGCTGCTTGTATTGATGTCATTGCACTCTGCTGCTGGTGGCCTTCTATGTAATGCCATTTCTTGAGAAGTTTTCCTTAGTGATTTTAATTGAGACAAAATACCTCTAAACAATAGCCGACCCCAAATAATTGGGATAAGGCTCGGATGATGATGATGAGGAATTTGATTTCTCCTTGACTTGTATGTAGGATATTGAAGTTATAACCCATCCTTATTTTCCCACTTCATTCTATTATATTTTGCTAGTGATTCTTTTATTCCTCATTCTGTTTTGTTGTGGTTATAGGACCTCGGGACTGTATATTCTGAACCCAAGGCTGCTCACCACAGACTGAAAGTGTTTTCTAACTGTTTTTCGACTCTGGATTGCTTCAAGTACATAGTGAATCTCATTAGAATCACAAGTAATGAAATGTGATTTGAGCCACTTAGATCCTGGATGTAACTTAGGATTTCCTAGTTATTATGCTATAAAAGAGATGGTTTTCTCCAAAATGAGTCATTGTGTGTGGGCCTCTAGAATGTGTAGTAGGTTTTCTAAAATCTGGACTGTCCCTTTTCCACCATAGATATTATAGCATGCTGAACTTCTCATGCTATCTTAATTTTGTTTATGGAACCATGGAATACATGCTCATTTCATCCTAAGGAAGGATTTTGGATCTTTGTACATTAGGTTATCCTTTGGAGTGTAAATTTGCTTTAATGCCAATAATTAATGTGTTCAAAAGATCATGTACCTCTCTAGGTGATCGTCCTCCCCCTCCCCTTCAGTTTGAAAGATTTTGCTTCTTTAATCTTTTAATGATTAACATCTTTTACTTAATCCTCTGTTGGTTTAACAATCCAAAAAGGCCTCTATTGGTTCCCATTTGATGTTACCATTCATCAATAAAATATTTGCATTTTGCATAACTCCATTCAGAGTATCTCTCGTTAATGAACTTGTGTCAGTCTACAATTTGTCCTCCTTTTCTGCAGGTGTCATAATTTTCTTGTAGTAAATAGATGGCGGCATGTATTGAGGGAATTCAGGTTCTTTTTTCATCTCATCACTCAAAATCATCATAAACATAAATTGTAAATGCTTCCTTTTTTGACATAATGTGACATTCTTGAATGTAAATATTTCTTTTGAAAAAAAGCAGTTTATGAGGTAGACCGCTTTATATTAGGGGTATAAATGGGTTGGCTCGGGTCCAGGTTGCCGCCGACCCATTCCTGACCCAACAATTCCACGGTTGGTTGGGTCCAGGTCGAACGGATCTGTACACAAGTCTAGGTAAAAATATAAAGTGTTTTTTAAAATAAATTATATATATTTCGTAATATAAATTGTAATATACATATGTAGGAAATAACAGGCTGGTTCACCCAACTCTTGGGTACATACTTCTGGACTTGGACCTGACCTGCAGGGTCCAGAAGCTGGACATGAACCAAGACCTAAGTCAGTTGACCTGACCAGATTGACAGCCCTACTTTATAGGGATCATCATGCAAGAAAATTAAATCATGTAGTGACTTTGTGTCGTGCTAAATTTGATTTAATGATTTCTTCTTGTATGCCTATTTAATTTAAAATTGGAAAACAAAGAGGGAAAAGAAGATCTAAATAGTGCAGTCATTGTTCATGAGAAGAAAAAGGACACGAAGTTATGCAATTCCATTTTAGAAAGCAAGAAAGAAATGTTTTAGCTGCTTTCTTGTGATAGATATTTAAAGAAGATATGATAAAAGAGGGTATTAAGAGATGAAATATGGGCCTATGCCTGTGTACATGCAAAAACATACACACTATTAGCTTCTTAATTATCATCATTTACTTTTCCTTAACTATGTGATTGGACCCTAATTTATCAGATTATAACCATTGCTTGCCCCAAAAGAAAAAGTATGCCATAGTCCACTGTATATGGTGCTCCCATGATCCCATCAAGTGATGGTTGGAGATGAACTGACCCAAGTGAATTTCTGTGTGAGTCCCACTACAGTTGATCTCCAACATGCGCTTGCGATGGGAACAGAAGTGGATGTTACCATAGAGTATTGTATCACATAGCCCATTATTTGTTGCTTAAGATCCTAATTTTTGCTGAAGTACACCATTCCAGTGAACTATAGACACTTGAAAGCCACACTCACTGGGATCATCACAACCAAATGAAATGACGGATAGTGATGGAGAGAGTGGAGCCCACTAATGGTGGTTCCTGTTCTCCAATACCATCAATCATTTCATCAGATGGAGATGGCCCAATGGACTGTCATCTTTCATGTTCCATTGGACAATAGTATACTCACCCCTTATTTTTTAATAAGACAAGTAATTGGGATAATGCATGGATGATGATGATGACACTCCCACTTTTCAGCTTGAAACCTTAATTACTTGTATGTCCCTAAAAAAATCCCCAACTTTCTGCATTGTAGGACTACTTTTCGAAGTGGGGGAGCGAAGGGGTGGTAGACCTAAAGCACGAGCTCGAGCACCTTATCATTTTAACAGCGAGCCGGTGCCTCTTGGGACGCGAGGTGCGTGACAAGCTCTTTGACGATGTCTCATCTCTCTTTCACGACCTCGACAATGGCATGCTCCCCATCTCTGTGCTCTTCCCCCGCCTTCCCATCCCTGCCCACCTACGCCGAGATAGGGCCCGCCAGCGCCTTGCCGAGATCTTTGCTGGAATCATTGCCGGCCGCAAACGTGCCGGAAATCCCGAGCCCGATATGCTTCAGAGCTTCATTGATTCTAGGTACAATATTTTTAATTCTCAATTTACATAAGGAAAAATATATTATGATCCATATGGTCATAAGAACAACCATCACCCATGGGTTATCAATCAATTGGTTGGAAAGTGATGTAGACAAAGAAGGTATAATTGTACAATGTGACTCACTCCCCCATCATCACTATTCAACCCATTGATGGTCATGGGGTTATGATGATGATGTGGATCATACTCTATGGGCCTTTGAATAAAAAACTCTAGATATAGGTTTTCCTGATTTCTAAATATTAAAAGATTGAATCTCGGTGCGTGTTTCTTTTTGGGGAATGTACTGGTAAAAAAGCTAGCTATGGTTGTCTTTCCTGTGCTGGAAAACATCCATTAACGGTTGGATCCATATCCAATATTATCGAGATATGGATGGGCATTCAAGTGGTTGTTGCTGAGGTATGCCCCCAATCTCAGAGTTGGATAGAATACCACAGTTGTGGGTATTTTCCCAGTGGAAAAGTTTAGGAAACTTCTCGAGCTGATCATTGCACCCCTTATTCTGAGGGGTAAATAATCCTTCAAGTACTCAATTGTCGGTCAATTGGAATTATGGATCATCTCTACCATTTGTGTAGGTTATTGACACTGGACATTATACTGTCCTATGACCAAGTCTCATTGGACCACTCGCATTTAAATTTGTAAAAAGATTTGACTCCAGGTGCAAACTCTTTCTAATATGTGCAAAAATGGATTGTAGGTACAAAGATGGGCGCCCCACCACCGAGGCAGAAGTCACTGGCCTCCTCATCGCTGCCCTCTTTGCAGGCCAACACACCTCCTCCATCACCTCCACATGGACTGGTGCATACCTCCTCACCAACAAGCCCCATCTCAATTCTGTCCTTGAGGAGCAAAGGGCCATTTTGAAAAAGCATGGAGGCAAAATTGACCACGATATCCTCTCTGAGATGGATGTGCTCTATCGGTGTATCAAAGAAGCACTAAGGCTCCACCCTCCTCTTATACTCCTCCTTCGGAGCTCACATAGTGATTTCTCAGTAACAACAGGAGAAGGCAAAGAATATGAGGTGCCCAAAGGCCACATTGTAGCCACCTCACCTGCCTTTGCTAATAGGCTAGGTCACATTTTTAAAGATCCAGACCGTTTTGATCCTGATAGGTTCGCGCCAGGAAGAGAGGAGGACAAAACAGCAGGAGCATTTTCGTACATTTCATTCGGGGGAGGAAGGCATGGTTGCTTAGGTGAACCATTTGCTTACCTCCAAATAAAGGCGATATGGAGTCATTTATTGAGGAATTTTGAGTTGGAGATGGCAGGGCCCTTTCCTGAGATTGATTGGAATGCAATGGTGGTTGGAGTTAAGGGAAAGGTTATGGTAAGGTACAAGAGGTGTGTCCTAAGAGCGGAGGAATGAGGGGACATTTTCTGGTGATTTGAATGCAGTAATGTGGATTTTTGGTGGGTTTGTTGTGAGAATTTGGGGGGCCTTTCTTTGGGGGGTTTGTTACCAGAATTTGGATTTGTTGCCCGCATATTCGGGTTAACAGCTGGTGTGGGTGGTTCGTTATTTTTGGGTGGATTTCAAGTGGGAGTTAAGGATCTTAGTGTCTTCTAGATGTGTTGGCTTCTCAATGAATACTTGTTTTTTCGGTAGTTATTTTTTTCTTCCCTTTGCTCCCTCATTCCACACTAATTTGCTTTCCTTTTTTCCCTCTGTTCTTTCCTTCTGGAATCTAAAATTTTGTAGGTGGACGTTTTTTTTTCTTTGTCTTTTCTTTTTCTTTTTTCTTTTCTATGTGAGATGCGTATTTTTTTTTTTTTTTTATTCTCTGGTTTTATTAGGCTTTGATTTTACTTATCACCAGTTATTTTGGTGAGGAACTTCTACAATAAAACAAACTTTTGGGGAGGAACTTCTGCAATAAAACAGACTTATGGATAGATTTATGGCCGACAACATTAAAACTGAACGTTTAGAAAAAGCAAGGGGATTATAGATACGCCACTTTGAAGTTTGAACAATATTGGTTGAGAATTAGTTACAGTTTCTCAAAAGGTACAGAAAAATGATTGTTGATCTCATGTTTGTATTCGATGTCCAAAAAACCAGTTATGAATCATTTGTGGCATTCATGTTGGGAACTGACCATAGATCGGTTCATTCTGGTTCAACATTTTTTCGGTTGAAACTCGAAAGGCATGGTGGAAGCATCAAACTTTCGCTTCAAGCCAGGCATTTCTGGACCCAATTCTGAGCTCTCTCAGCTGAACCAGATGGTAATATCAAGTTTACAAAACATTGGCGGTTCTTTCACCTATTTTAGTTTTGGGAGAGTTTGGGTACCTAGATTACAAGGAAATAGAATATTTGCTGGGTACCTTGAGTAATAAGAAAATTAAAATAAATTACAAGTTAAAATTTGAAATGTGAAATGTGAAATCCATTACTGCAAGTGCTAGGATAACCATTAAGCTGGAAACTAGCATAGCATCCTCTTCTCCCTTTCAAAACGCATAGCATCCTCTTCTCCTTTTCAAAACTTAGCAGGGCATCTTCTCCCTCAACGCATAGCATCCTCTTCTCTCTTTTAAAACTAGGCGGACGCATAGCATCCTCTTCTCCCTCTCAAAACTTAGCGGATGCATAGCGTCCTCTTCTCCGTCTCAAAACTCCGTCTCAAAACTTAGCGGAGCATCTTTACGGTCTATTTTTTTTGTAGGCCCTAACCCTTCTCTCTTTTCATTTTTCTGAGAAAGGAATTTCTCCACATATATGAATGATTTCTCTCTCTAAATAAATCGATTTAGAATTCTTGCAGGGCAGCCAGCCTTTGCATTCCTCTCAAGGAAAGCCAACTCTACAAATAGTTAGTCCGAACAAACCCTAATTATCATTGCCATGTAAGCTCTTAAACCAGGTGACTCTCATTTCCTTTCCATTGAGAATCCCATTTGCTGTAACTGTTCAGCCAATAAATTCCATTGGCCATCACTTCGACTCTGGATTAAAGTTTGTCCATGGCTTGATTATTTGTGGAGTAGTTGCCAATGATGGGAAAATGGAAAATTATCCCGCTCAATCCCTCATTTTTTCCCACGCACTGTTTTTGTGTGTTTTTGTTCAAGGACTCTGGATTAAAATTCGTCCATGGCTTGATAATTTCAGTTCCATTTGCCATGAAGAATGGTGTAATATGAAAGGACTTTTGAGTTTTTTGAGACCATGCTTTCCTCAATTTTTTATTGCAATGAAGTGTTTTTTTGGTTGGGATTATTGTATGTATTGTTGAACTCACAAAACTACTACTGCCTTTTGCAGGGGGTTTGAGTCAAACCCTTCTCTTCCCTTCATAATTTTGGGATCGTCTATGAATTATAGAATCCTAAAGCTATTTGTTTCTTTTATATGTTTGGCTTTAGTTGTTTTAATTGTTGAATAGTTATTTTTTATTAGACCTGTGTTTTAGTGGTTCTTGACAGTCTTATAATTGCCACCTTGGTTTTAATTAGTGGTTCAATGTAATTGCAGTCACTGATAAGTCCAGCTTTCAATTAGAATGATTATGTATGTCCACAGTTGGTTGTCTTGGTTGTGGCTGTGGATCAATTTCAGCTGGGTGTCTTATTAGACGTGTTTTAGTAGATAAATTTCAGTTGCTGTGTATAATAGGAATGGGTTATCCCCTTTGTTTTTTGGTGGTAGCTACAGTAGTCTCTTGAAGCCAAATCTATTGGTTGCCATTACATCTTCTCCATTATCTGGTTTTTTTTAACATATCCCTTATACAGTTTGCTTGTCATCGGATACCAAACTATCCATCAATGAGTTTTTTATAAAAAAAAGAGAGACGGAGAACACATTGATAACCTAGGAATAAAATATTTAGCTTTTTGGATTTTTTTTATGTGAGACCTTGCATAACACGAATCTCTTTTATACGATTATGTGAAATTCAAAAGTCAAAATAAGATATGGTAAAACCACACCAAGAATTGATTCTTGCACCAATTACTACTTCAACCACACCAAGAATTGATTCTTGCACCGATTACTACTTGTACATTCATGTCTTGCACCAATTACTGCTTGTACATTCATGTGTTTTGCAACTACTAGTACCTTCATGTGCCTGGCAACTGCTAGTACCTTCATGTGCCTTGCAACTATTACTACTAATCTTGGGCAATTATTTTGTATTGCTACTGATCTTAGGCAATTATTTTTTTATTTTTTTCAATTCGACTGTTGTGATTGTGTTCTACTTATTTTAGTTATTGTGGATCAATGCATAACAATAATTGAATGTAATCATAATTACTCGCACATAATCATATCTAACAAGTCTCGCATAAGTGGTAAATTGGTGACGTCATTCATTTTCACATATTATGAATGGTGTGATGATGATTTTAATTCCGTATTTCAGTAGAATTTTGTGAAAAAAAAAAAGAAGAAATAATAGTTTATAAGCAAGTGCTGATAAAATACTGGTAATGTATTTCCCATATTTCTTCCAAACATAATCAAATAGCAGCAATGTATTTTTTAGGTTGTATCTAAATACTACCCAAACAGTAACAATTAATTTTCAAACAATCTATAACTCGGTAATGTATTACGTCAATAATATATTTTTATGTATCCAAACAACCCTTTAGTAAAAACCCAAAACAAAGCCTATTTTGTGGAATCTGACGGGGCTGGGGCTCTATTCGTTAATTTGCATAGTTTGAGATAAGCATAGTGAAAAAAGAAAGAAAAGAGATACCTTTCTATATTTTAGTGATTGCATTTTATTTGTCGTCTACAGAGGAGATATAAATGTGCAAGTTGTGATCCAAACATTTGAACTTGTGGTCAAGTTTTAACCTTCATCTTCTTTTTCTTTTGAAGGTTAAGCTTTAGTGCGTTTTAAGCAAGGGCAATGATGTCATCTTCTGGTCAGGTCCCCAAAAGTGGTAATCTGCCTTTTTAAAAGAACCACATTTTGGGGATGGGAAAGGCCTGAAAAGTTTTGGGGCGTGGGAGAGATTTGAAGATTTTTCAGGACATTTTTTAACACCCCAAACCATATTCATGACAACAACGATTTGAAGCCCATAAATGCCTCAAAACATGATTCTAATATTAGATATAAATTGTCAATTTGGATCTTAAAAATACTCCCAAGCAAGTTCCATCTGAAGAAGAATATCTATAATATGCTCCCATGGGTCGACAATCTTTTGGTTTATATTTTATATGTTTTTATAATTTGTTTAAAGATTAAAGAATTGTAAACTCTAGCGAAGTGAGGTCACCTAGTCAATCAGGACCTGACCAGGCCGAGCCGGTGGGTCTTGGGCCAACCCTATTCAGCCCCTTTCTAAAGTTCAATTGGAGGGTTTAACTTAAGCTTGTTTACCCGGTTGAGATTGATCCTACGCCATCGGATGATGGTGACTCGATGTGGGGTGTAATAAGCACGGTTGAGGTAATATCCGACATTTTTTTTTTATTTCTTATCATATTTAATTATATAGTATTTATATTTCCAAACATAAGAAATTGTGGTTTTTTATACGTTTAAAGAAATTTGGTTTTAGTGACACCAAGGTTTTAAGATCTTAGATTTACTAGTTTTATTTTTTTTGAAGCAAGTTGTAATAAAACTACTTGTAAATAATTTTTGACAAACAAAAAGAAAAAGAAAATAAAAAACATAAAAAATAAAAAAAATAAATAAATATATATCCCCACAGGTTCACATTAATCTTTATTTCATTTTCACCTATTTTAGTTTTTGGTGAAGGCACAAAACACATTTTTATTTAGTGGAATATGACGTTGCTTAGGCTCTGTATGTTTGAGATAAGCTTAGTTGAAAAAAAAAAAACAATTGCGTTTAGCTTTGATTGTTTAGAGGCTCGGCTCTATACAAACCACACCATCAGCTTTTTGTTGAAGATGTGCTTCAAAACAATTTCTTATCACGCTCTGTCTTTGATGGTCCACTGTGTTTTTATGGTCTTTATGGACCATCATCTTTCATCTTTATTTTTTCGCTCTCGTCCTCTTCGTATGGGCCCCATACGTCAAGCCACGTTTTATTGATGCCACTTGCTCTTTTTCTTCCCTCTCGCGTTCTCCATCACTGTTTTCAACAACGAATAGGGGTGAAAAAAGAGAAAAGAAAAGAGAACCCTTTTTAATAAATAAAGGGTAGAGGAAGAACAGGGGGTGGCTTGTGGAAAACAGAGAGCCTTTAATAAAATATTTGAGACGTAACAGGTAACACGTACTGTTACATTTAGTGAGTTATTTTACTGTGAGATGATATACGTGTGTTTCTATTTCAAGTCGATTAGTAATATATGTCGATCGGAAGATTAATTTGCAGTGAGAGCGAGAAGTTTGTGATCCTAGTAAGTGTTTGAAATATGATGATGATTTGTAAAGTGAGAGAGATGTTTGTTTTCAATTGATGTTTACAGTATCGTACTGATTGGAAAGTTATATCAAATTTTTTTTTTAGACTGTGGTTTTTGTTGGGTTTATGTGGCATTTAAAAGTCTTACGAGTGTGTAATGAAAAATATTTATTATAGTAGAACATAAATTCAGTGGGAGTGTGGTCTTTCTAAGCAAATGATATTTGCGGATACCGGACTGTGCTTGACGATCTAGGCCAGTCAGTTGAAAAACCCAAGGTACCTGGGCATAAAAAAAAAAAAT